CGACGCTTCCGATTATGCCATTGCGGCTATTCTTTCCATCCAATATGCTGACGGTGAAATTCATCCTCTAGCCTTCCTTTCCAGAACGCTTCACGTGGCTGAACTCAACTACGATACACATGACAAAGAGCTACTGGCCATCTTCGAGGCCTTTAAAGCTTGGCGTCATTATCTGGAAGGCTCGGGTGATCCGGTGGACGTCGTCACCGATCACAAAAATCTTGAGTATTTCTCTACTACCAAGATTCTCACCCGCCGACAGGTCCGATGGTCAGAATTTTTACATCAATTTAATATGGTCATTCGCTTCCGGCCGGGGAAACTCGGCGAGAAACCCGACTCGATAACTAGACGCTGGGACGTCTACCCTAAAGAGGGGGATATCGGCTACGCCCAAGTGAACCCTCATAACTTTCGTCCTATCTTTACTAACGAACAACTCACTGCGTCTCTTCGAGCTACCTTCTTGGAAGGTCCGGTTTTACGAGCCTCGATTATCATGGATATCGAAGCCCTACACCAAGCCATCATCCTCGCCCTTCCCGCCGACCCGAGCTCCGTGGTTGGTTTGGAACTTGCAAAAGATCCTTCCAATGAACGTTGGAGCTTAGGTAGTGACAAGCTACTACGCCTTGACGACCGTATTTATGTCCCTAATCACGGCGACCTTCGCCTTCAAGTTCTCCGCTACTTCCATGATCATCCACTCTCCGGCCATTTCGGCCAGAACCGCACTCTGGAAGCTGTACGTCGTCAGTACACCTGGCCCAAGGTCAGAGACTTCGTACGTGACTACGTTACCTCTTGCACTATCTGTGGGCGCAACAAACCTCGCCGCCATCGGCCTTACGGGTTGTTGAAGCCTCTGCCGGTTCCGGTCCGACCATGGGATTCCATATCCATGGACTTCATTGAGCAACTGCCGATGTCGAATGGCTATACAGCTATCCTCGTCGTCGTGGATCGATCTTCCAAACAAGCTATATTTATTCCAACTCACGACACCATTACTTCCGAACAACTAGCTGAGCTTTTTGTTATTCACGTCTTCTCTAAGCATGGTGTTCCTAATCATGTTACTTCTGATCGTGGTTCCGAATTTGTTTCGGCGTTCTTCCGGGCTCTCGGTAAAGCGCTCTCCATGGAACTTCACTATACCTCTGGATATCATCCGGAAGCCGACGGGCAGACCGAGCGTGTCAATCAGACTCTCGAACAGTACATCAGGATCTACTGCTCCTATCAACAAGATGACTGGTCGCCTTTACTTCCGATCGCCGAATTCGCCTATAACAACGCTCCCAATGCTTCCACTGGTATTACTCCATTCTTCGCCAACAAAGGATACCACCCAAACATCACCGTTCGGCCCGAGGTCGACATGAAGTCTGATCTTGCTAGAGACTTCGTCGTCAACCTTGATGAACTCCACGCTTTCCTTCGAGAGGAAATCCTTTTAGCCCAGTCTCGTTACAAGGAACAAGCTGACAGGAAAAGAATCTCGCATCCGGAGTTCCCGATCGGTTCCGAAGTATTTGTTCTTGCTAAGCATATTCGCTCTACTCGTCCTACTGAAAAATTCTCTGAAAAATATCTTGGTCCCTTCAAGGTCATCAGTCGACCTGGTACTCTATCTTACGAGCTCAAGCTCCCGGACTACCTTCGCCGAATTCACCCGGTTTTCCACGTCTCACAGCTGGAGCCGGTTACGCCGAATCCTTTCCCGAATCGAACTCAATCTCCTCCACCTCCAATTGAAGTTGATGGTGAAGAGGAGTACAACGTTGCCGAAATCCTTGACTCCAAGTTGGACAGAAGGTACAAACGTTGTCCTCTACGATATTACATTCGGTGGGCCGGTTATGAAGGTACCGACGATGAGTTTTCTTGGGTTGCTGCTGATGAACTACATGCTGACGAACTTGTACCGGCATTCCACGCCCGATACCCTCACAAGCCTGGACCTTGATCACAAAAACATCCTATTCCTTTTTCCCGCTTTCGCCATGCTCCGCCGAAGTTTACTTCGTGTGTTTAGAGGGTAAACACGATGATAGCAAATTGAGTGTTTACCTTCCCTTCTTAAATTGTTTACTTTGTTTCTTAGTTACTAATTTACTTATTCTTCAAATCACACTTAAACTACTTATACTTCAAAACTAATTACTTCTTACGCCGCTTCGCGGCCCATTCGCCTTCCGATTCAAATCGCGTTAATAATTTTTATATACAAAAGCAAAAAAGAAAATGATGTAGGAAGACAGGAGGCCACAAGAAGACTACAAGAAGATTACAAAAAGGGCCGAGGGGCCGATGTCCGATGTCCGTTACTACTCCTCCCTCTCCTTCCCCTTCTCCGACCGGGCCTTCTTCGGCGCCGGTTCCATCCCTTCCTCCTCCTCTACTTCCTGCTCTCCTTCTCCATCTTCCTCTCCTACTATCCTATCCTCTTCCTCCTCCTCGCTATCCACTACCCTTCTCCTTTTCTTCGGCAGTCGCGACGGTCCCGGTTCCGGCATCTCCGGTGGCGAATCCCTTCTCCTTGCGGCGTCCCTCATCAACCACTCGAGCTTCTTGATGATGTGGCGGTCGTAGGTGTTGGACTTGATCTGACCTTCACGGAGAACCCGGTTGTCGGCCAATAATTGAGCCACCTGGCTCTCCAATACTGCCAGACGCTCGCCGGTCGGGTGGGAAGGTACCTCCTTTTTCACCGTGGGGGGCCGGTTGGAGTGCGAGCAACGCACTTTTGCATCATGGCAGGGCTTACAGGTGGTGCTACTCCGCTTGCCGGCCTGCTGAAGGCAAGGGATCCGTTTACTCCTGCAACGTTCGCAAGGAGTTCTGTCGTCGTCGTCGTCGTCATCATCCCCGTCGTCGCCGTCATCGGGGTCCCCGCCAACAGGCTACAAACAGGAATGTTAGTAAAAGGTTAAATTCGAGGCTACGCGCTACTCACCTGGGCCTTGGCCTTTCCTTTTCCCTTGTCCTTACGGACTTCCACCATGGGCCGTCGTGGGGAAATCGAACTTCCTCCTGGCGAAGACCCCCGCCGACTGCGAGCGGCGGCCGCCTCCGCCATCACCCTACGGCGCTCCTCCAACTCTCGCGCGGCTACTTCCTTCTTCCTCTGCGCCTCTTCTGCAGCCTTCTTGGCCGCTTCTTCTTCGGCCTTCCTTCTGGCCGCCGCCACCGCTTTCCTTGCCTTCATCCTGCGGACTGTTTCTTCGGCCTGTCGGATGGCTTCGTCGTCGTCTTCTTCCAAGGCCTCGTCGTCGTCGTCAACCGGATCGGCGGGAGGCGGGTTTAAGGGGCGCGACCTTGAAGGGCCGGCCGTAGTTGAAGAGGGGGTGGTGATCGTCTGAGTACGGCTGTGTGACATTGTCGACTTGGGAAGTGGGGAAAGTTAGGGCCACATCGGCAAAACCTGGCCCTTTTTATAAGGACAAAATGGCGCACGGACCAGCGAAAATTTTCTTCGAATTGTACATGGTCTACGGTGCACCGAAAATTTTCTTGGATGACTAACAACAATCCCCGGCACCAACGGCCTTTGAAAATTTTTCTGCTGACTGATGGGCCAAATTCCCGAGGCTGACGGCCTTTAAAATTTTTCCTTGGTGACAAATCAACTCCCGGTATTAATGGCTTTCGAGGGCTCAAGCCTAAGAGGGGGATACTGTCAAGTCCATGCCTCGGGCCTCCATTCCGCCGCTCGGTATTCCGAAGATCTACCTTTTATTGTAATCTCTTCCTTATTGTTCTTTCTCGCTACACATACCCTTTCACTCTAGTCCCTCCTTATTGTCTTTTACTTCACCCTGCAGGACTACACGTATAACTCCTAGTAGTTAGTCTGGCGCTGCGCCCCGTTGCGCCGCTCCGTAGATATAAATACTGCCTGTACGCTACTGTAGTTCCTCAGTTTAATTATCAACTTAGATCAACTTAGATCTCCCTTCTCAACTTAACTCTTCTCTAAGTCTTCAGGCTCAACGCCTCGAAGTACGTTCTCCTCGACCTTAGGACTTTGACGTTCTCTGGTCCGCTCCTCGTCATCGGCGATACCGCCGCTCCGACCTGGCTGCTACTTAGTTCCTCTCTCTCTACTCTCGCTCTCCGGGGACTAACGGCGTAACGGCGGTGTTGTTAATAACTTCACTACTGTCCCACTCGTCTTCCGCACTTCGACACCTTGTAGCTTTGGCACGGTTACACGGTGTACATGATCTTAACAAAGTGTCACCATACCGAATCAGATATGTGTCTGGAAATACCCGTCAATGAGTAAATTTTCGTGCTTGAATGGTCATAGTGCTCGCGTTCAACATGTCGCACTGAACCCGAATGGTGGCACAATTGTCACTGGAAGTGGTGATCAGTCTCTACATTTCTGGAATATATTTCCAGGAAAGACATCAGGTATGAGAGGTGGGGATGGTGTATTAAACTACGGGAAGCTCATACGGTGAACGAGAAGACCTTTTCATCTGGATCGTATATCTTCGACATCGACATGTATGGCACCGGATCTTTAAAATAGTACTGAAATCTGAAATGCTTTTTCAATCAAGTCAACGCAGCACCGAAATACACACCTAATGCAAAATTTGTTGGACGTTTTGGGATCGGATCCTATATGTCTGGATATGTTCCAACTGATTTCATTGGGTGACTTCCCGCAAGAAGAGAATTATCTGTTTCTTCGGTCCTAGAAGATGACAGTTGTAGCGAACAGTATCGATTAATAGCTGGTGACATTTCTGCATAAACGTCCATTTACGACGCACCCACCTGGGACAACTCTTTCGAAATGTGATTTCGCATTGAAGCCGGATTGAAGCTGATCATACGCCGTCCTCCGAGTTCCGAACAACGAACAGCGCTACAGCGAGGAACACAGCGCAAAATGACACCGGCTTTAAGCCGCGCCGTAAGCGGACCGTGAAAGCGGAAGGCGTGAGAAGATCGTAGTTGGACCACCTGATTTGTCATTTTGGCTTGAACGTTGAAGGCAACCATGGCCCCCTCGTCGTCGGCGGCGACAACCTCTGTCCAAGTCGGTAAGTACACCCTTGCTCAACGCTCCCATATGATTCTCACAGTTTCTGCTACCAGCCCTGAGGATAAGACCACCTACGAACCAGGACAGCACCTCCATACCCGCTCGCTTCCAACGGACAGTTATTCATGCTTCTTCGTCCAACTCTGTCGCTGTAGAAGCAACTTCAAGCACGCCAGCTGCCGGTGGTGCGGCAGCGGCTGCGACCTCCACTACTTCAGGTCCTGGCGCTAAAAAACAACACTTCTCCTTTGATCAAGTGCACGATCCGTCGACTACGCAGCATACACTCTTTACTTCCACCGCCCTTCCTCTGGTATCCCGTTTCATTGAAGGATTCAACTGTACAATACTCGCCTATGGTCAGACGAGTAGTGGCAAAACTTTTACCATGACCGGTATCGACTTAGATGCTAATCCCTCTGACCCCAACAATGGTATGGGTATCATTCCTCGAGCTGTTTCTACAATCTTTGCCGAGGCGAGACGACTCAAAGAAGAACGAGGAAGTAGTTGGAACTATAGCATTAAGGGCTCGTTCATTGAAATATACAACGAAGACTTGATCGACTTGCTGAGCATGGACGACGGTGCAGGTGGTCGACGAGAGGTGCAGATCAGGGAAGACAAGGATGGCCATATAATATGGGGTGGTCTACGTGAAGTGAATGTCAAAAATCCGAATGAAGTCATGACGTGAGTATCTTTGGCATATACGTTCCAACCATGATTTGACAGAAATGTAGCCTCATTCGGAAGGGAACGTCAATTCGTCGGACAAACGAAACCGATATGAACGCACAATCATCTCGTTCGCATGCCATCTTCTCCTTGACCTTCACTCAAAAGAAGTATAGTGGTATGGGTGCACCTCCTCGCTCGTCGTCGCCACTTCCTCCAGGTGGACGTTCTCCATCTCGACTCGCTCGACCTGGTTCGGTTTACTCTGGTCCAGGTTCTGGGTCTACGTCTGGGAATAGAGTAGGCTCTCCTACTTTTGGTCGTCCGGCTACTCCTAGTTTTGCTGCTGCAATGGGCAGGGGCGGGGGACTGCGTCCATCGAGTGCACTTGGTCATGCTGGTGATCGCGCTAGCGTCGGTGGCGATGATGAAGGAGGTGAATGGACAACGATTGTTTCCAAATTCCATTTTGTTGATCTGGCTGGGTCTGAAAGAGTAGTATTCATTACATGTTTTTCTTTCTGTCACTGATTGGTGTCCTTTAGTTGAAACGGACTGCAGCAGCAGGCGAACGTATAAAAGAAGGCATTTCAATCAATAGTGGTCTACTCGCGCTCGGAAATGTTATATCTGCTCTGGGCGATCCTTCAAGAGCTAAATCGCATACCGCGACCCACGTTCCTTATCGAGATTCCAAACTCACTCGTTTACTGCAAGACTCGCTCGGTGGCAACGCACACACACTCATGATCGCTTGCGTTAGTCCCGCTGAATGGAACGCCGCCGAGACAATTAACACCTTGAAATATGCTAACCGTGCCCGTAATATCAAAAACCGAGCTGTGGTTAACGAAAAGGAGGATGGGTGGGATGATGTCGAATGGTTGCAAGGCACAGTCACTCGGCTTCGCAAGGAGGTGAAAATCTTGAAAAGCGGCGGTAGCATCTCTAGCATCGACGTGGCTGTTCCAGAACCTGTAGAAGGTGCGGGGAAGAAGGTGCTAGCGCAGATGACGGAATTGCAGAACAACTACCAAGATTTAAGAGCCAAATTTGTCGAGCGCACAGAAGAACTCACCAGGCTACGAAGAGAGTTAGGCGAAAAACATCGCGGGTCTTCTGGCGCAGTGTCGGGCACCGGAAAGTATGAGGAAATTGTCGGTCCAGTGATCGAGGAGTATGAGAAAACAATTGCTGCCATGGAAGCTGAGCTCAGCCTCAACCGGGCTGCCCTCCGGCATACAAATGAAATGGTGGAAGAGAAAGAGGAAGAGTTGGCAGCGGTGACAGAGAGGCATTCTGCGACTGAGCTATACGTTGAAGAACTACGGTCGAGACTTGCGAAGCTTTCGGAAAGGGAAGCATCGACCGAGGTAAGGACGCTTTATCTAAACCTTATATACAGAAATCTCATTGTTGCTTTTCGACTGATATAGGCATACGTTCGCGATTTGGAAGAGAAAATGCGAACATTTGACGAAACTTCTATCTCTTCTAGTGAATCGATGTCAGACCTCAAGCGCGAAATAGCCCGGTATAAGGAAGCAGATACTCACTCTGCGAAATACATTACCGACTTGGAAGCTCGGTTATCTCGCTCTGACGAATCTGTGCTTGCGCTCCAGCAAACAGTTGAAAGACTGGAGAAGGAAAGCGAACAACGCCAAGAGGAGGTACAAGTACTCCAAACGCGGCTGGAAACCCTCAGACAGGATGGCGAGAGTTGGCGGAATGACCTTGAACAAAGGGAAGCGAAAGTTCGGGAATTAGAGATCAAGATGAAGGAGTGGGAGAAAAAGCGGCAAGATGCTGGAGATGCTCGTGTCAGATTAGGCAGTGTTGTGGACGAAGTGGCGGCTGCCCGACGGAGTTTTGAAATCGATCTTTCTACTCCCGGCTCATCTCCTTCCAAGGAATTCAACGAAGAAGATGCTTTTAGTACTGCTGGCCCTATACTCAATGGTCACAGTAAAGGCGATTCTGGCATTTCCTCGCCAGATACACCGGAGTCACGAGCTACAGACCCTTCTCTGCAAAAAGAGTTGATCGCACTGCAGCAGACTCACAACGCCACGCTCGCTGATCTTTCATCTGTAACCACTAAGTACCGCGACGCCCTTCGAGAGATATCGGACCTAGCTGCGCAAATCCAGGAAGCGAAGCTCGCCAATGCCACGGGACCGGAAAGTGTAGCAGACACTACTGATTCTGAACGAGCAGCTGAAAAACCCGTGATCAAGAGACGAATGACCAGTGGTCGTCTGAGGGAAAACAGCGAGACCCAGTACAACACTGGTGGGCGACGACTTTTTTTCAGGCAGGCGGCCTCCACAGAATCGCTCCACTCGAGGTAAGCATTAAGCAATGTTTTCATCGCTTCACGCTTAATTCATCATTTCCATTCTATTGAAGGTCGCTTTCGCAATCGCAATCGCTTTCACAGGAGCTCTCCTCGGCTCGTTCGCGCAAGCACTCCTCTTCAAGTCACGGAACAGCTAGTTCTCATTCTCCCACCAACTCCCATTCCGTGTCGTTGAGCCCGCGTCCCAACCTATCAATCTCTCTCCCCAACGGGCTTACGAACATTGTCCCTGCGGAGAGGTCTGCGGTCAGTCTCGAGAAAGAAATTATGCGTTTACAGGAAGTCTTGAAGGAACGAGAAGCTGAGATATCTACACTTGAACTCTCACTACTGAAGGCTACTCAAACCGAGAGTTCTGCTTCATCGACTTCTGATCAGCTCCGAGATCTGAAGCTTGAGCTAGACAATGCCCACGATGACGAACCTGCTCCTGAAAGTTTCTTATCGCCTCAGACGATTAACAAGTTTGCACATATACGGAGAAGTATGCAGTTCCACAGCGAGAATGGCAACAGCCAACGAGATCATGACTCTAATTCTGCCTCTGATTCTACGGTATCTGACACAGACGAGTCGCTTGACAGGTTAAATGAGCTCATGTTGTACGTAGCTAGCAATGCTCTAACTTTGGTACCAAATCATCTCATCATTTCTACAGATCCATGGCACAGAAGGAGTCGAGTCACCGAGAGATTGTCGATAGCTTGACTAAGGAACTCAACCAAACTCGACGGTCACTTGATGAACTCACTACACTTTCTCGGGATCAGGTTGGTATTATTGCACTCTCTATCGTTGTCCATCTCAATCAGCTTCACAGGCCCTCAATATGTCAACCGAAGTTGAGGCTTTGCGTGAAAAGCACCAGAAAGATTTGCAGAGGCTTGAAGAGGTTCAGCAGCGCGAATCGGAACTAATCGAAACTTTAGCCGAAGCAGAGGTTGGACATGCTGCGGCCATAGAAGAGCTTCGAAAATCTCACTCCGATGCAATGAAGCAAAAGCAGAAGGAGTTGGATAATCTACTGTCGCGCATGAGCGAAGAGCACGAAGTCGCGCTTTCAATACTAGGACGCGAGCTCGCTGCTGCCTCTTCTGCACTCAAGCAGGCTCTGCAAAGTCACGAAGAAGCCTTCGGAAAACTGCAACAGGAACATGAGGAAGAGCTTCGAAGCAAACTCCAGGAAGCGAGTGACACGCTCTCTCGCGTTCGTCAGGAGCACGAAGACTCTCTTTTGAAAGCTACTGATGCACATGCGGAGGCCTTAAAGCAGAAGGATTCAGAGGCAACGGCCTCAATTCAGCAGACCGAGGAGGACTACTACAACGCTTTGACTCAAATGCGAAGTGACCACGCCGAAGCTTTACTGAGGCATACTGCTGAATCTACGGCAGCGCTTGAGAAGTTAAAGGAGGAGCATGCCGCTGAGATTCGTATGAGTGAAAGAGCGAAAGAGAGTTTACTTTCGGAATCCCAGTCATCCCGCGGTCTGGCTCTCCAGGAACTTCAGGACGAACACTCTTCTGCCATCTTTCGGAAAGAGGTCTCACATACGGAGGATTTGGAGAAATTGAAAACTGACCATGCTCGTGCCCTTCTCGATAAGGACAAAGATGCCGAAATCGAGCTTGGAAAATTGCGTGCCGCCATCGCGAGGAAAGAGACTACACTCAACGAGGAGTTGGGAAAGGTCAAGTCCGATCATATTGCTGCACTTTCCTCGCTTCAAGCTGAACACACCACTGCGCTTTCATCCCTCCAAGCCGACCATGTTGCTGCAATTTCCTCCATCCGGGATGAGCATGCCTCTATTCTCTCTTCTACTCACACGGATCATGCTAGTGCACTTACCTTAGCGAAAGCCGAGTACGTATCCCAGTTGGACCAACTACGCGCCGAGCACGAAGAAGCTGTATTCAAGCTCAAGGAAGAGCAGAAGGCAGAGGGCGAGCGACTCACTTCAGCACTTTCTTCTCTCGAGAATGACTCGTCGGCAGCTGCTGTTGAGGCTCGCAACGTAATTGATGCAGCCGTCCAATCCCAAAGAGAACAGCAAGCCGCGCTATTAGCGGAGATTACACGCTCACATGCCGACGAACTTGAGCAGTTGAAGGCTTTCCATGAACAATTGTCCCAAGACCTAGTTACCACCTCGGAGGCGAAAATCGCGACTCTTCTAGAGTCACATACTGTTGAGGTTTTGAAACTGCGAACTCAGCACCAGCAGGAGATTACCGAGTTGAACAACACCATGGTTGCAATTCAGGAGCAACACAAAGAGTCTTTGGAAAATATGCGGGCGTTGAGTGAAAGAAGTGTGGCTGAGACGACGCAAAGTTTAAAGGCCGAATTGAACGACTTGAATCGCCAGCATCTCAAAGATAGCGAAAACCTCCGCAAGGAGAATGAGCTCCTTATGCAAGAGCTAGAGGCTCACAAAGTCGCTGCCGATGAGTTTCTGTTGCGAGACCAATCACGACAAATTCATGAAGAGCAAATCGCTGAGAAGGACAATGCCATTCGGACTGTGGAAGACAGACTATCGGTTGTAGAGAACGAACGTGACGGGCTTGCTTCCGACCTAGCCAAACTCAGGGCGGAATTTGAGCGAACTCGCACGGAGCAGTCGCTACTTGTCCAAGAAGCTTCGAAGCGCGAGTCTCTCGTTATGGAATTGGAGCGACATCGTTCTGTACTTGCAGAAATGCAAGAAAATCTACAGAGAGTCAAGGACGAGAAAGACACACTACAAATAGAAAAGGGTCGTTCAGATTCAATCGTCCGCGAACTACAGGCGCAAATCGCTCGTAGCGGTTCTCCACCAAATGGCCGGCCAGCTACAGAGCGTTTCAATCGTATTCCGGGCGCCGCTGGCATCAAACTGCCTCCTCCGACCCCTCCGCCGTCGGTGCCCCCACCACCTGCTCCTCGTTCGATACAGCACGATCCTGGTTTCAGCGCATCTTCTGCAGGGACATCGTCGTCATCCCGAGACTCTCAACAAATACCAGAATCCCCTGCTACACCTGCGACATCCCTCGGTGGCTCCATTATTACATCGATCTCAGCTGTTACTGATACCAAAGCACTAGTCAAGATTGACGAACAGGCAAGGCAGTTGGAAGAACAGGAAGCCATGATCAAGACACTCAACAAGCAGCTTACGCATTGTGAAAGCGACCTCCAGACTCACATGGATTTAGTGAGCACCCTTGAAACGTCGTTAGGTGACTCGGAGAAAAACCGTTAGTTATTTCCGTCACCATTTCATCTTTTTGAATACTGACTGTCGCTCGTTACGTTCAGTGCGTAAAGCCCGCATGCATGCAACTGAGCTTGCCCGTGAACGGGACAGGTTAAATGGGGACATTGAAGCGCTCCGGAAGGATCTCACTGATACTAAGCGAGAGGTTGTGAATGTTCGACAATCCATCGTTGAAGAAAAGCAATCATACGAGCAGCGGCTGGACGAGGAGAGAAAGGCAAAAGAGCGTGCGAGGCAGCAGCTCGATTCGCGAATGGAGGAGTTATCGAAACGTAAATCAAAGTTTGCATGCCTGTAGGCCCACCTTCACTTTCTCCGCTTCGACCTCTGGCAGGCGACGGCGACCACGCTCGTTTAAACGTTCATCGGTCACGGCCCGCACTGATCTTGTCTTCCTGCTTCACCTCTTTTCCGCCATCTTCCCAGGTTTATCGACATTCTCCACCGCCGGCCACCCATTAACACCTTCGCTAATTATCGTCCTATAATTTCTAGTGCATGCATTCTCTTCTTCCATTTACCTATGTTTTGAGGCTGTTTTAAGATACCCTTACCATTTTAGTTTCGTTTATTACATACTTTACTCACTCCTCTGTTCTCATTATGAATTTCCTGTTCTCCTTTTTCTTTCTTTTGTGCATCATTTCATGTAGGGTATTTATATTTTATGTCGCCTAGGCTGTCATCTCAATGGATTGTGAAAAACTGTCACACTGGAGACGAGGTACTTACATAAATGGCAACTCGAGCTGGAGTTGTCCGAAAAAAGATTGCATAAACTGAGGAGTCAGGACCCCGCATCGGAATGGCAATTCTTCACCCCGGCCGGCTTCGCGCACCGGATGAGGATCAATTTCTAACCCCGCTCCACTATCTTAACCCAAACCCAACAACAACCTGTCCTCTTACCATACGAAATTTTCAACCTCTTGCCCCCATGTCTGCTCAAATTTCTTCACGAGCAACAATCCTACTTCGCCCCAATGTCTTTTCTTCTCGTATATCCACTGTCAATAGGTGGAGATATTCAAGTACAATTCCAACGAAGTCCCCCAAAACGCTTCCTGCCTTCTCGATGGAGGGAAAAGTTGGTTACCGCTTATTGTCGTGCCAAAGAGTTTAGAACTGATAGATTTAGGTTTGTCTCATCACCGGTGCTGCTCGTGGATTAGGCAACGAGTTTTGTCGCGCTTTTGTTCAGTCGTAAGTTGTTTCTTTTATATCCTTCGTCATTTAGCGGCTCATATAATCACTCAAGTGGATGTACAACGATGGCAATTGTTGACCTAAAAGAGTCAGAAGCAAAGGCCGCTGCACAGGAGCTTGCTCAACTCGCATGCGGTCAGTCATCTCGTTCACGTTTCCCACCCCGCATTTTTAGTTCATTCAGTGATGGTGGACATGTTACTGAAGAGATCCTGTTAAGTTAACAGCGACCTGAAGAAGGAAGACGTCAAAATCATTGGCATCGAGTGCGACGTTTCGTCTGAGCTATCTGTTCAGAGAGCGTATGCTGAGACTATCAACACATTTGGGCGTGTAGACTCGGTCGTTGCTTCCGCTGGTAAATGCTTCTATACCTTGTGACTCCAATGACATCTGATGTCCCTCTGTTCCGCATCACAGGTATCGTTGAGAACTACGCAGCATTTGAGTGAGTTGCCGTATTTCCTGACTTTTCGGATACGGATCTTAAACTCGTCCTCTCTTGCCGTCTCCAGTTACCCATTCGATCGTATAAAACGTTTGTATGATATTAACGTCCATGGTGCCTTCTTCACTGCACGTGAAGCGGCGCGTAATATGATCCCTCAAGGCGGTGGATCTATAGTATTGGTAGCTAGTATGAGCGCCAACGTGAGTTGCAACCTTCTAACTCTTCTTTTATTCCTTGGCACTAATCCCATTTGGGTCTCAAGATCATCAACATTCCTCAGGTACTATTACTTTTTTCCCCACTCTTCTGCTGTTCACACTTTATCGTGTCAGCCCCAAACGCCCTACAACGCGTCAAAAGCCGGTGGGTCCAATATCTACTCTTGTCGGAAGCGGTGAAACGATACTGACGTTATATTGTAGCTGTGAGGCACATGGCCTCTAGTCTGGCTGTCGAGTGGGCGAAGAAAAATGTCCGAGTCAACGTTCTCAGGTATGCTTCTCACATCGTCCCTGCAAGTTGTTAATAATAATTTGTCGCCTCAAGTCCTGGGTACATGGCGACCAAGTTAACAAGGACTATCCTCAACCACGACCCTGAGTTGAAGGTACGTCGTTCGACGCGCTCAATGAGGAAAGCTCACCGATCGCGTTACACTTTATGTAGAAAACATGGGAGAGCTTAACTCCAATGGGACGGGTATGTCATAATCTTAATCTCTTGCAAGGATCATCCATCTGATTGCTTGTAGATCGGAGAACCTGAGGATCTAGCAGTAAGTGTTCAGCAATAGAATGAATACACGAAGTACCCAACTATTCCTCTCAGGGTGCTATCGTTTACTTGGCAAGCGACGCTTCAAGATTCATGACCGGATCCGAAATTCGTGTCGACGGAGGGTATACCATCATCTAAGTAGTTTGGTTATTCCTTTTATCTTTTCCCCAAAAAAATTCGCTTTATTTTGTCTGGCATATAGAGGTATCTTACACGCCGTAGGCTCACTATATCTTATCGACTTGGGCTACTATTATATTGTATACATATCCAACGCTATCTTCTTATATAGCTTTTGTTTATGGATGCATGACTTTGATTCACCTAATTCTCATGTAACGCATTTCGGGAAGGAACGTGGAGCGATGAGGAGCCGAATTGAGACTTAAGTAGCACTTGCTTCTCTCTGAGAATAGACCATAAAGTCACGCCCGGATGACAGGCCCGGAAAAATTTGATCGGATTTGGACGATGCACTTTTGGCCGAGATCTGCATCGTCCCTTTCAATAACCATCACGTTACTCTTTATTTCGTTCTCACCATGGGTTGGCCGTTTGTCTGCCCGTCGTTTCGCCTGTCCCTCTCAATCTATTTACCTCCGTTCCCACTACTAACACTCGGCGTCGTCCCTGGCAGCTCGATCGACAATGGCGCTGCTGCCGCCGGCTATCTCTCTGTCCCGCTCCTCATCTCCGCTCTCGACGACCTCGACCCCGAATCGCTTGCTCTTTTTTACGGCGTCGTGAACGCTCAGGCCGTCGCTCTCTCGCTCCTCACGATTAGAACACAGCAAATCATTGATGCCATGGATGTTGATGAACCAGGCAACTCGGACGAGGCTCAAACTCTCGGACATGAGGTTGGAGACCTCGAAGTGATTTATCCTGCTGAACCTCAGCCTGCCGATACGCTTGCACTTCCCGGAAGGCATGAAGACGGTGTATATTATGTTGTCTACAAGAATATGTATGTATACCCTCTTTCCGATATCTGTAATGTTACATCTGATCCCTCCAAGCACCAAGTTGACAGGTCCAGGACTGAAAGAACTTTGCAAGCAGTATTCCCTTGCAACAACAGGCAACAAGACAGTTTTGAAGGAGAGGATAACAGGGTTCAGCCAGGATAAAATCCGTTGGCAGCAGTACGTTTCCCAAACCAATTATCTTCTTCCTGCAGCTGAATACATCATTATCCTAGCCTCCTTCCTAATGCTCGACGCTCTCACCGCGGTGTTCGTGACGGCGGCGTTACAAAGAACAAACACAAGACAGACGTAGGCTCTGTGAAGGTTAAAAAGCTCAAGCCCTCGGTGCTACGACGGAATGAGTTGATGGGTCTACCATTGCACGCACCGCTCGGTGCCCAGCTCTTTGCCTCGGAACGGTCAAAAGATATGCGAACGCTAGAGGAGAAGAGCTCACTTTTGCGTCGGGTACGTTGTCTCTGCTCTTTGTGGCTTTCAACCAACATAGTTGCCAGGCAAAGGAGTTTGACGACGCACACCCTCACATTCCCCGTGAGGAGCTTTATCGCCGAAAGAAACTTCGAGAAGAGCAACTGGCTAAGGAGAAGGCAGACAACAAGGTGCGCAGCATAGGCTCTTTTCTCGTTCACTGCTCAGATCATACCCGTAGGTAGCGATAGCAGAGAACCTGCGTTCGATGTCTGCCCAAATCGCCAGTCTCACAGCTACGATTCAGATCCTCACCGGGTTTTCGCCCCCGCTCCAAGCCCCATCTTTCCCTTTTTCGTCGTTAGCCCAGTACCCGAATCCTCAATCAAGTAATTCGTCAAATTTCCACTGAATTTTCTGCTAACTTACTTTTCCCAGATCTGCCTCTAAATCCTGTTCATAACGGGTTGGCCTCGAGCCATACGAGCTATCACGGCTCTTCTTTCTCCTCAACTGGTAAGTAACTCCATTCCTCATCACAGTTTGTTTTTTAGTTCTCGTTCTAGGTTCCTCGGGTCAAGGGGACAGTTTTGCTGCAAACCAGCTGTCAGTTCCGCCTGTAGCTCCGCGCGTCTTCCCTCTCACTTCACCGAGCACTGCGCCGCTCAACGAACCTGCGAACACTAAACGGAACGACCAAGCGCCTACGAATAACGGCCCAACAATGTTTACGCCAACCACAAATAAAGGCACTGCTCTGTCGTCTATACAGGAAGAGACAACTAACAAGCTCACTATTGGACACGGAAAAGCCATCTACTACAAATACAGCCAAGTTCATGAGCCCCGCCAGATATCTTTTGTCACCGACATTGCTCGACTAGACCGCGTCTGGGATGATGAACAACCCAATTGGGACCCCCTCGACTGCGGAAGAAACCTGTTAGCAATCAACGGCACCCCTATTGCTCTCAAATACTGGAAACAAGTCTTCAGTCGCAAGAACGACGGTGCTTGGTCATGGTTGAAGAGGCTCTGGGTTGAGTGGAAGGTAAGAACTATTTGTATGATCAGGCTTTTGTTGACAGGAGTTCTGCAGTATGTTGCAGAGCGTTACCGTTCTAGTGGTAGTGACCAGTTCTGGCAGGAGTTCTCCTACAGCAATGGTGATCACTACCACTGGAAAGCTATCACCGATCGACTTCGTGACCTCCGGAGCGAACGCGACCAACAATTAGTTGACCAGGCCAAGGCTGAATACGGTGATAATTTCGCGAAGATCTTTGTTAATAACCGAGGTAAAGTACTTACTGATAAACCTACAATCGCTCGACACTACCTTAACGAGTTAGCAAAACGCTCTTTGTAATTCTTATTACCATTGCCGTATTTTAGTATTTCAACGTGTTCCTTGGTTTAGTTACAATAAATAAATGAAATAATCCATTCCTCTAAGCACAATGGCATGACCGGTTACAAGTAGGACAAACTGTAGTAGGTGCGCGATTCATGTTAAAGAAATCATCACGGTCAACATGAGGGTTGTCGTTCCAGGAGATGAGGTATTTCACAATAGTTAAATGTGTGAATTCCTGACTCCACCCCCCCCACTCACAAATCTGACGCAAAGGCCAACGACGCTCCACAGAAAGCCACTGACACCCACCACGTCGGAATGAGTGGGTTCCATAAGGAACAAAATCGACACCTATATCAAGAAGGTTGTTTCGAAACATCTCAAGAAATTGTTCCGACGTCTAGAAGCAAACCTGAGTACAAGCAAAGTGAAGGATTATTTCAGAAGGTCTTACCATAGGTTCATTCTCCTCAGCGAGGCGGTCATTAGCTCGAATTTTTCGGAACAAGTAACCTTCTGTTAAGCCTGATATAAGAATCCATTTGACGAAAGCCCGTACAACACATATGTGCTGGTATTCCTCTGGCATTTCATACCAAACAAATGGCTTGATATCTAAAGAAGATTAATGCCAGAGTACCACACAATCCTGATGAAACTTACCTCCAAATTGACTTGTCTTTCGGAAAGGGAGATGGAGGCTAAGCTTAAGCTGGCCAGTTTGGGGGTCATCTGAAAGGTTGATGTCTTGTAGCTGAATCTTAAGCATTTCATCGACACGGAGTAGCCCACAGAAGGAAAAGTTGTATCCACAATTCATCATTGAACGTGCACGCGGGCCTAATTGTCCTTTGCGAGTAGGAGGTGAAGACAGCTGGGGCTCTCTAAACTCAGGCTTGCGATTGAAGTAATAAAGATTTTCAAGTAAGGCCTAACACGTATATCAGGCTTACTGACAAGGAGCTGCAAAACATGCATACCGATGTGACTGCTCGAGCACTGGTGGGGGTGTCACCGCTCTGTGTCTATAGATATATTATACGTTAGTTAAACGATTAACGTGTTTTCGTTATACAAACTTGCCTTACGACGGCGGAGACTAAGCATATAAGTAGAGACAGTCTCCGAGACTGAAGGATTGCCTAGCATCTTTCCAGAGATCTCGCTACGGTGCCAGGCTTGCATACCTAAGCCATGGACTCTTCCAAATCCAAAGGTTGCTGCAGCACGCATCTTTTGGGCATGTGTATATGTCGCCCGTTCCTTTGTCGTCGCAATTGCTTTACCATCAAGGTCAATTATATCACAACTAGAAAATGGCTCAGATATTTATATAGAATTATGATTGAGCCACATACGAATCCATTATCCAAGCCACCAGATATACTGCAGCTTGAGGATGAGGTTTATTGCAGAAAAATTGGGTTCCCTCAGTTATCATTTGTCGATCAACAAGGAATTTATTGCATTGTTTCATCAACCTTGAGTGAACTCAATCCTCAGTAAATAGATCTAGCATTTAACAGATACGTACCGGTGATATTCTTGTGATGTCTTCTCAGATACACCTTTTGAAACCTCTCGAATTGCGTCGCTGAGCCCGGACAAGTCAACCTCGACTTGGTCATGGCTTTCTTCCAGATCGTCCAAGATATCTGCGGGACTCAAGTGCTGTTCTTCAGTAATTACTTTGAGCAACCCAGAGTATGAGCTGTTGGTGGTGATGTCGACAGTCATTGATGAGGAAGGAACAAATCAAACCCCTATTACAAACAAAACTGTGGTTCAGTTTGTTTAGTGCAGTTTCTGAGCGGGTAAGAGAGGAGCTGCAGGGGTTTAATACAACATCTAACAAGCCTCGAGTAAACCTCGAGGCTCACTCAAGGGGATATTTATCTCAAAAAACACGAAGATGCAAGTCTATTTGTAGGAACACTCATCAAGATACAATTGTAATTATATACCGTTATGCTTCACCGGCAACGGGCGCGTTTAGATGGGCGTAATACCGGAGATTCCTCAAGGTCTGAAAGATCACTGACTTCGTCCAGGCCAGCAGCAGTACGAATCATACCCCGCCAATCGCCCCTGCAAACATCTGCCCATCGCGTAAACCTCTGCAGGCCTAGTTTCCATCGCGATGCCCGTGATGCTTCCCGTTCAGCACGTTCTTCAGCAGTAGCTTTTCCCAAAAAGGATTTGTCTGATTGAAACCCGTTGTCGCGCCATCGGAAAAGGCCACCAGAAGAGTATTGTATTATCGCATAGCGGCTCTCATGTGCTTGGATAGGGATAGTAGAGTGGGTGATAAGTGCAGAGGGAAAGAGGATGGTGGAACCAGGAGGAAAGCGAACGATAAGCCCAAGGTCCCAGAGCACAAGGTGTCCGCCTTTGTCGGGATTGAAGGGTCCCATGTTAGTATCAGCGCACCAGCTGGAGGCACGGTTTTCAGGATCCATGTGAGGCGGGGAAAAGGAGCGGGGACCCAGGTTGAAGGTAGTCGCAGCAAACGCAGTGTTGGGGAAGTTGGGTCGTAGCTCGGGCTGCTTGCGTTGGATTTCCTCGTTGGTAGCTCTAGATTCAGCATAGTTCTTGTGGCAGTAAGTGTTGAAGAGAGCTACCAAGAGCTCCGTTATCCTTCAAACCAGTGAGAAAAGGAAAACAAAGCACGCACTGTTTTGAAAGCCTGCGATGCGCCGAACTGCTGTGTTCTGCAGAAGCTCTTGCATAGCGCATTGGTTAGCCCTGCCAGAGACTTTGTAGTTCTGCGGCTTGCACCGCCCGTTGCCATAACCAAACCCCACAGTGCGGGAGGCAAATTCTCCACGCCGGCCATGTTTTTGTGCTTCGGTGAAGGTACTGGACTCACGGCAACGCGTGGCAGCAGCAGCAGCTTCAGCTTCCACCGCCTGCCACTCTGTCCCTTTAGACCCGCGAGGAACTCCGCCAAGGACTGCGATAATACGGTCACGAGCGTCGACAAGCACTACGCAGCTCCTGAAAAGAGAGGCATTAGTTACGTGTACCCTTGAAAGATAAGCTACACGCACTCCCCGTCCCATCGAAGAAGCTTCAAGCCCTTCGTTGTGCTCAAGACTTCCAGATCTTTCCATACCCTTTGGAGCCCGGGAGAGAGCTTTTTACGAGGATTAGCGTTCCAGCCGCTAGATGACACTGGGAGACTGGAGGCGTCAAATTCTTCAAGCTGAAGAGGCGCAGCTCCTTTAGCCAGCTCAACGACAAAGGGCTTGATGCTCCTCGTCGCGATGCGTTCTACTGCTTCAGCAGCCCGTTTTGCACGCAAACGCTTGGTGAGTTTCGCATACTTCTTGTCCTTGCGGGATATCGAGGGAGAACGGCAGGGAGGATCAATGGGGGGTGGCGGTTCTGCACACGCTTCTCCGTCAGCTTCTCCGTCAGCTTCTTCGCCCTCAAATTCTACCTCTTCATCGTCCAAGGGTTCTCCAGCATCTTCAGCAGCCATGCGCGCTCTGTGATCGGCCTCGAGAGCGGAAGAAAGGTCGAAGGAAGGGAATTTGATGCGAGCACTGGGGACAGCATCGCCTGCGCGTAAAAATTAGTCTCAGTTTATCTGATGAGGGAGGTTAAGGACGAGGGGGTTTGTTATCAAAGAAAACGCGTTCCAAAAGGAATTTTCAGCCAACAGAGCCTTGCCTAGATGATGGGCTGGGCATCTGTTGGCTGGGAAATTCAAAGAGGAAGAAAGGTAGAGAAATAAAATTATGAAATAGGGCACTCACCTAGATTAGAGCTCATCTCAACAGAGAACAGGTGGTGATGATGAGGGAGCAAAAGAGAGAGCACAGTCAACAAAGACGCGTGACGGCGGTCATGCACAAACGATTCACGCACGCGCGCTTAACCAGAAACTTTTGTTTCTTTTGCGTCAAGTGGCTACAATGCTGTAGCTTGCTGTTTTTCCTAGCTATCCCGACCAAGCTTCGACCTAATATTCATGTCCGGAACCCCATCGACCCTCACGCACTTTTACTTGCCTTTATATCTCCCATCTCTGCCTTTCTCGACATTCTTTTACCACATAACGAAGGGTGTTTGCGTAAATACCATTGAGCAGAAAGGGAGTAACGTGGATTTGCATCGGGTCGGTGGGGCAAGCCAGCGCATTATCATAGGTGGGGGCGTTGAGAACGACTTGACGGAATTTTCACCGGCCAAAGAGAGTGTGGTAAGCACTGGCTGGTTTCTCAGCGTCGAATGGATTGGTAAAGTGCACTAGAGAGCCTAGGTTGAAGTTGAACGTATACAGGAAGATCCCCTCGCGAACACGATGTCTTCAGCTCGTAGGCGCGTACACTCCTTTTCGTTGCTTTATCCAAGTTTGATAGGTACCCTCAGGATGCCCTCTGGTTTCCTTGCCACTTAACGTGCCGCCGTTCCCGCAATTGCTTCACCTATCCATCCCCCAATCTCAAGGCAACACCATTGGCACAAACTCCGGCCCCACCTGCCGTTCTTAGCCACCCACTCGCACCTTCACCAGAACTTCGCACCCGCTGTCCAGGAACGCATCGACAAAGCCAGCTTTCCTTCCGTCGCTACAGCCTTGAACCCACTCGAACCTTCACCAGAACTTCGCACCCGCTGTCCAGGAACGCATCGACAACGCCAGCTTTCCTTCCGTCGCTACAGCCTTGAACCCACTCGAACCTTCACCAGAACTTCGCACCCGCTGTCCAGGAACGCATCGACAACGCCAGCTTTCCTTCCGTCGCTACAGCCTTGAACCCACTCGAACCTTCACCAGAACTTCGCACCCGCTGTCCAGGAACGCATCGACAACGCCAGCTTTCCTTCCGTCGCTACAGCCTTGACCATGAACCACCATGCAGTTCGCTCCCTAGTACCACCGCCAGTAGCTGCGATTTTCTCCTTTCGGCACGGTTCGAAAGCAACCCGAAACCGCTTCCCAGACCATCAGTGCCCTCCTTCTGTTGGTTCGAACGCGTACCCACAAAGTGTTTATCCACTTGAGGTCCTCATGCTTGCCTAAACTTCTGGAAGCCCTCAGGTGAGTCCTCTAAGCTTCAGAGGTGACGAAGTGCACTAACTAGATGGCTATAGCTTCCGAGTACGAGCTTGTGTGCCACTGAGCTTTGCGTTGGAAATCTGTTTATCAGGTGAATATGACTCGTCTACGTCGTCTTTGGCCTTCTCTCCTTCTTTGGGACCACCCATCACCTCCGATAATTCCACTTCATCCACTTCAAACTCCTCCACCACCTCTCCACCACCATCACCACCATCACCGCGACGAATGAACAAATGTCGGCGGATGTCCAGTGACTCGGCGAGTGAACCACCATCTTCTGCCATTTCCTCTCTTTCGAGCTCGTATTCGTCAGCATACGAAATAGAGAATGGAGGGTATTCTTCTAGCGCGTCGCACTCACACTCTCATCGTTCGTCTATACTTATTTTATTTACGATCCAGATAACACCATGTTACTGTATGTTACAGGCCCTCTATACCGCATCTTCCTTCACCACTACTGTAACAATGCTGAATTCCCCACACTTGCCACAGGTGAGGATGAGGGAGATCGGCGCTTTTTTTAACTGTATACCTGGCCTTAATTGGCTATCCTGAGCATAACTGAAAGCTGGCCTGTAGTTTTGCATACATAAAAACCGTAGTTCACCCTGGCACCTACGCTGGCTGAAATATGTACCAGGTACCCTTTTTTAGAAATAGGAGCTATTATTGTTACCTTTCTTTTGTCCCTCTTGCTTCGATATACAGTCATCATGGGAATCAAAGATCTCTGGCCTGTAAGTGCTCATAGTATTATATATATGTGTCAATTGTCTAACCACACAATACAGTTAGTAGATGAAGCTGCCTTTACATGCAAGCTCAGAGACTTTATTGTCGAGCATGGATTCCTCAAAGAGCATTATGGCTTACGTACCGTTGTCATCGGGATAGACGTCAGGTAAGCTCTATATCAAGGTATAGGAATTGTGAGCTCACAAATCAATGCATGGCAGCTCCTTTTTGGATGGTTTTCGTGCTGCTGACAGGGCCCAAGGCCAGCTTCATTCATCCAACGCAACTCTCACCCAGTTCTTCAAGCTGTTGTGTGGTCTATCGAAGGCGGGTGCTCACTGTATATTTGTGTATGATGGGGACAAGCGACCAAAAATCAAACGAGGACGTCAAGTTGTCACAAATGAATTGGACTACTTGAAGCAATCAAGAACAATGGTCGAACATTTTGGTTATCACAGCCACATGGTATGAATGGTTTTCTGATGGTTCTCTGCACGGAAAATTTACTGAATTACTGCAGGCTCCGGGTGAAGCAGAGGCTGAAATAGCAGATATGCTTAAACAAGGAATTGTCGACATAATCCTCTCAAAGGACAGTGATGTTTTCCCCCTAGGGGCTGCATCTGTAATGAATCTTGTGGTGCCGCGGTGGGTAGTCTTTATGATTCTCATCAAAAATCTGACATAGGCATATGTATTATACAGGGATAAATCTAAAGCTCGGAAATCTTGGCTCGACTTGGAGGTCCGTATTTACCATACCAAAAGCATGGAATTCTCCCAGGGAGGTTTCATTCTGATCGCTTTGTTACTTCACAACGATTTCGGTAACGGCGTCAATGGTATCGGCCTTTCCACTGCTCGAGGTCTAGCTCAGAGTGGTTTTGGTGAAACTCTCCTCCGTTTATATGAATCACTCTCACCAATGCCGCAAAGACTGTCTGAGGCCTTGCAGGAATTGAATCAAGATATGGCGTACGAGATTCAGCACAATAAGCGAGGTAAAATGGGTTTATGTAGCCCTGCTCGAGCGGAAATCCTTCGACACTCCAATTTTCCGACTTTCGACGATTTGGAGGCCCTGAGCACATTCTTGACACCTGTAACAAGCTCTTCAGAGGGACTTCCGCCTTTACTGGCATCCCTCAGACTGCCTACTCTTCCTAACATCAGTGGAATCGTAGCATTTTCCACTGAGCACTTCGCTTGGTCTCCAAAGCTTACATTACAACATTTCCACAACTATCTTTGGCCCGGAGTCATCATCCGAATGTTAAGTTCGGTACGTCGTGCTAGTTAACCGATGTTTGTTACGTTACTAACAGTCTGGTCAGAAATACGTTGCCTACAACGCCGATAACTCTGAAGTTCTTGTCCCTCGACTGCAGAATAAATTCGAGACAGACAGCAAAGGACATCTGTACATACCTACCTTTTCAACCACAGTTATGAACAAAGACGTACTGGACTTCCAGGACAAAGATGCGAGTGACACTATCTCCATTGTATTCAATACCTCATTCTTTATTCAACTCACTGGTCTCAACTCCCCATCTGCACAAAGCCGGAGAGTTGACGTTCCAGTCTCAATGATTGCGGTGGCTATAAATAATCTCAATAAGGTTGTTAATCTCCGTCAAATGATTGGTTGGTTTTTGTTATTTTCTCCGCATTTCCTCTGTCTCACGTTTCAATTCACCCTTGAATCTCCAGGTCCCCGTTCACCTCCTGGCCAGGCCAGTATTGAAGCTGAAGCATCGGGTAAGTTTGTGTATTTTGTCATCCAGAGTCCAGATCATTCATATGCAATGTAGGTAGCCACACTTTACACAAGTTTCCCTTGAAGCGAAAGCAGAGCGATAATCTCATTGCTGAGAGCAGCTTCAAGAGCTTCAAGCGAGTCAAAGATTTAGGTGTTATTGAGCTTACTGACAGTGACGATGATTCTCTGTATTAATAACTGTACAATATGTGTAATGTAAAGTCAGTTATTCAGTGCTTGTATACTCTCATCGTTGAGGAAACTACATGAGGATATTCAAGCTTAAATATAAACGGAGAATAAGCAGAATAGGATTGGAGAATGAGCAAATTTTGAATGCAGTTTTGAGGTGTGAATATCCTGATATCTCCGATGCATGGTCTTTATTACCTGCCCACCAAACTTCGCACTTTTTTAAGCAGGAAGGAAACGTTGTAGAGACGGGATCTTTGGATATAAAGACGATGACACAAAGGTCATAGAGACGATGCACATAATATAACATCGCTTGATATACTACTTGGTCTGCCGTGTCCCTTACCTACTATTGCACCATCTCGTTACTGTATCTAATTCGAACCAGTACCTAGTTTTTCACTGCTGTCTAACACTACTGTAGATTTTAACATATACTTACATAGATAGTGAATTCTAGCTCAGTAAAACCATCCAGCTAGTAGGATCACTTTGGCACTGGGATAGGTGGGCACTGCAAGGATACACCAATAAATAAGTGTAGGCAAGTGAACATTGTGTTGAGCGTTGCTTACACAACGATGCGACACGCCGCACCGCACGTTTTCAATGATGTTTGAAAACCTCCGAATACCTGAATTTAAACATAAGATGCAAACAAACGTACCTACATCCAAGCAGCACCCATTGCTACCGAAGTCTCCCACCATCGTTCACCTTCATTCGCCTTATCCTTTACGCACCACAAAAGTCTCTGAGTAAAGTTGCATCAAATGGAATCTCCTCCACTGTGAGCTCTTCTCGTTAATTCCAATTATTGATAATGTACTACCACTTTGGTTGTTTTGACTGTCCATGATGTGCTATGTAGCGCGTCAGAGCAGGTTTCTTTCCAGAGGAAGCAAATATTTTTGCTCCCGCCGCCGTCGAATGCCCGCTCGTTGGCCGGAGCGCGTGGATCCGTCGGGTGATGCAGTGCCGTCCCTAAAGGGGACCTGTCATTACGCATCAGGTCACATCTCGTTATGATCCGTTACGAGATGTGACCCGCATGGTCTTTCCTGTTGGTCTCAATTGCACTTCTTGCTTTAAGCCTAATTTCATTCCCAAGAACGCCATGTCGTCGTCTCTTCCGTCTCAAAGGCCATCTCCTGGCTCTGGAACGGCTACACCAGCCTTTGAATTTACTAAGAGAAAAAGATGGGCAGATTTGCTGATCTCGGAACTCGCCGACACATGTATCTTTGTATTGTCCTCTACGCTCAAAATTCTCTATTGCAATCCCGCTGTTTACGATCTTTTGGGATGGAAGGAAGGAGATATAATTGATCATGAGTTCACTGATCTTGTTCATGGTGAGTTGTGGGGTTTTCGTTGATATCCAAGTGATTACTGAATTAGTATCACAGCCGACGACCACCCAATCTTTCGAGCTTCTTTCGATGAAAGTCTAGGGGGAAGGAAAGAACTCCTGGCTTATGTTCGTCTCAAATGCGGTACACCCGCAACATCCTATCCGTTCATGCCAATGAAGGAAGTCCTCTACGAAATAAAAGGTTATCCACGATTTGTTCTGGAGAATAATCCTTCGTCTGGGTGTCAGTGTTTCTTCGCTATGGCCAAACCATACATTAGTCGGAATATCACCATGTGCGTGTACAAGACTCTTGTTCAAATCATCAGGCTAAGACTCTTTCCCCAGGCTGAACACGCTTATGGAAGTGCAGCTCGAGAACGAGCATCTGCAGACCAGACTCAAGGCATTGAGGGCGAAACAGCACTCTGCTCCGTCTTCCTTATACTCCACTTCTTCGGCTTTGTTCACTCAACCACAACGCCAGCAAGCGGATAGCAAGAGTCCGTTCTATCTAGGCCCAGATACAGTCAAATCCCCACTCAAGTCGTCGTTCGATATTTCAACGATACCGAGCAATTCAGGACCCGGAGACGAGGAATCTGAAGACGGGCATAAGAAGAAGAAGGTATGCCTTCACAATCACCATGTCTCGCATGATAATCATAATATCCATCAACCCCACGACCATCTTTGTTTGACAGCTCAAGAAGATGCATCATACCGAGCAATATGTTTGTGTTACCTGTGGGCGTACCGATTCCCCAGAATGGCGCAAAGTGAGATTTCATTCGCGAACTATAAACTTTCTTAATAAGGTACATCGACAGGGACCGATGGGGCCAAAGACTCTCTGTAACGCTTGTGGACTACGATGGGCAAAACAGATGCGCAGAACAGATGATCCCACTGAAGCTGGCGGTTTGGTTGAAGCAAACTGATGGCTCGAAAATATTTCTTTTGGTTGAACTCGGGGGAACATTGAATAGCAATATCACAAGAACTGTCTCGCAAATACAAGGACTTCATCCGCACTTGCATTCGCATACATATACATATATTATTAAACACTGTAGCACTTACGCACGGATTTTTCTGGTTGCTATCATGATATATGGACATTACATATATTTTAGCTCTTCCCAAGAGATTGGGTACATTCAGAACATCTCCTACATACATAAAGTAATATCATTACTGGGTTCAAATATGTAGAGGAGGAAATTTACGGAAGGCGAGGCACGCTGCATTGATGATGAAGCCACTGGGATACCGCTGTCCGGGCTGAGTGCGAATCCAGGACAATATCCAGAGGACACACTGGATCCAGACAGGACCCAGATTCCATTGAAGTGGTAACATAAAGGGGAAAGAAAGGGGTGGATATGAGCATACAGTATAAAATGCAAATGCAAACAGTAGTAGGAGTAGAAGCTGAGTTGATTGTGGCAAACGGTGGGAGTCAAGTCATGTCGATACTTCGACCCATGAAATCCAAACGGAAAATTTGGCAAGGCTGAGTGAGGCTCATCGTTGTCAGGAAGGCCATCGATTAAGATTAGGAGTCTGGCTTTGGGTCAAGATCGTCAAGAGCTGGTTTCATTTGCAGCAATCCAATGAATTGCTGAATCGAACCGGTGAAGTCGAGGCCGTGCTTATAGC